GAGAGAATAGTGCAACAATGAATGAATGGAAACCCAAAATCTCTGCAAATGTTTATGAAAATTAATAAAATATAATTATAGGGAAAAAAAATGGGTTTTCTGTATCCCCCACCATTAATCACTCTAGTTCAAATTATCTTCACTTCTAAACAGCTGTCACAGTCTCTAACTTTTGTTTTCATTCCCTACCATTCTCTCCTGGCTCACCATGATACGGGTCTGACTTTGAATACAAGCTACTCAGGTTCACACCAGCTGCAGTGCCATCACCTTGTCAGAATCCTCTTTATGTGACCTTTGAAATTTGGTTTGTTGATATTATTCACATGTCGGCTTAAATTTCAACTTTCTAGAGAGTATAACCCATCCAGTTGGTGCAAAGTACCCACTCAGTTTCCCTTGATTATAATTTTCTAGAGAGCACTTAACCACTAACGGTCTGCTCTCAATGAACTACCCTCTGATGGATATTCTAAATCATGGGCCAGTTTCCCCCATTACTCATTAAGTTCTGGGAATGCAAAATGTTTTACATTGCCTTCAGAAAGACAAGACAAAGAAGGTAACCTAGCTACAGAAATAAACATACAATAGCTGAAAAGATCATTTTTATATTTTTATCTAACAATTCATGCATGTATGACAAACTGTGTATACACATTGCAACTACACATTTGACCTAATATCACAATCATTAAAATGGCTTAGAAGCTAACCTGCATTTTATGGTATTCTTTAATAAGAGCAAAATTTGTTTTCTAATTCCTACATTACCCTGAACAATACACTAAAATTCCTGAGTCTTGGTACATAATTTCCTACTTCCTTCGTTTTTCTAAAAGTTGATGCTCCTTTAAAACAAATGACATGAATTTATTGTTGGTAGTGATTTTTTGCCTTATACAGAGAATGATAATTTATATATTGTTTGTAAACATATCAAAGAATTTAAATGTTAAATTTTCTTCTTGTTGTTATTGTTGTTATGTGCTGCTAAGTCACCTGCAACTCACAGTAACTCTAAAATAGCCCTGAAACCTGCTCTATCCTGTGCCAAGCTTACTGTCTCTGACAGACCTACCTCCATTACCCTGTATCAATCCAACTCATCGAGGATCTTCCTCTCTTGCTCTGTCCCTTCATCCTTCGAAGCATGATGTCTCTCTCCAAGGACTGATCGCGCCTTGCAGCATGTCCAAAGTATGTTAAATGGCGCTTTAGAATCCTTGCCTCAAAGTAGCAGCCCGGTCTCAACCGCTCCTGGCAGTCCATAGTATATTCAATACTTTTCTCTACTACCACAGCTTAAAGGCATCAATTCTCCTTCTATCATCCCTAGTCATTGTTCAGCTTTCTGATACATACCAAGCAACTGTAAAGACTAGAGCCTGGATCAGGTGCACCTTAGTCTCAAGACTGATGTCACTGCTTAGAAATTCAAAATAAATAATCTAGATTATGGATTCTATTATGACCAGTGCATTATTTGGTTTTTCCAGTCCTTAAACAAAACTTTTCAGTACCCTCTACTGATAAAAAGAACTGATGACCTATCAATTAGCCCTAGCTCTCAACATATAGCTTAATGTAATCATAGCTTAAAATCATCTTTGAATGCACATCCAAAAACTTCTCCAACAGGGTAAAAAGGGAAGCCACCGACTGGGAAAAAGTATTTGGTAATGACATACCAAATAAGGGACTTATATCCAGAATTTATAAAATACTTGAGTACCACAACAAGATAAAAGGTAAATAATCCAATATAAAAAAGGGCACAGGATATGAACAGACACTTCACCAAAGGTGACATTCAGATGGCTAACAAGCACATGAAGAAATGTTCAAAATCCCTAGCTCTAAGAGAAATGCAAATTAAAACAACTATGAGATATCATCTCACCCCAATCAGAATAGCAAATTTAACAGAACAGCAAGCAACCAATGCTGGTGAGGTTGTGGAGAAACTGGAACCCTTATTCA